AGCCAAACTTCCTGCAGCAGGGAGGGTGGTTATCTTCATGAGATGGGGCTCAGTGGGAGGAATGCCCTCCCCAAGGTCACACAGCTGGCACAGCTGGCCGCAGGAACCTGTGCTCACCTGTACACTGGCACCAGGAATGGGAAGGAAGGTGTGTTAGCCAGTGACCAGAAGCTTGGCTGTTCGACCATGGGCTTCTCAGGGTCAGGATCAAGGTCAGATTCACTTTCCTGGTCCCCCAGCATGTGATTGGCAGTGGGACTAAATGGATGGACTGATAGATGGCTGGTCGGTGGCTTGTCACAAGGTGGAGGTGATGGCAGCCTTCGGTAATCTGGCGATTATACCTTTAAATGCTGTTATAATATAGTAACTGAGATTGTGTCTTCATAATAAATTTTCATATTCAAAGAATCTTTACAGCAACCCGAGGCCCAAGAAAACTCAACTAGTAAGTGACAGATAAGACCAGTTACATAATTTGTTGTGCAAAAATAAAACCACCAAAAAACACCCGTATTGTAAAAACATATTAAGATGGCGACAAGCAAAGTCGTAAAGCAGCGGAGGATCCCTGTGTGACTGCTGGGTGTCACGCCTGTGAAGCTGGGGCCCTGGAGACAGAGCTGGGACATGAACCTGGGCAGTCTGGCTCCAGAGCCTGAGTCCTTAAGTACGAAGCTATCCTTTCTTCCCACACTGGGCATGGGTTAAAAATCCTTATCTGGTTCCCTGAGGCTCAATGAATTAGTTGCAGTAAAGGTGACCCTTGATCAAGCTGGTGCCTGGTCCCCAAACTGGTGGTCATGGTAGTGGACAAGGTGTCCCTGCCCTTATGTTACTGACCACCCACCATCCACTTTCCCTGTTGGGTAACTTATTTTTGGGTCTGCACTTTTGTAAATCACTTATATGTCCACTAGAGGCCCGTTGCAGGAAGATTCCTGCAAGAATAGGGCTTCCTGAGACCGGAGTGAAGCAGAGAAGGGAGCGAAGCCCACTGAGGCGGGCTTCGCTCCCTTCTCTGCTGCCTCCCTCCCTTCTTTCTCTGCTTTCGCCCTCGGCTCCCTCCCGTCTCTGCTGCCTCAGCTCCCTTCCTTCTCCAGTGCCTCAGCTCCCTTCCTTCTCTGCTGCCTCACTTCCTCCCTTCCTTGCCGACTCGGCTCCCTCCATTTTCTAGTGCCTTGCTTCCTCCCTTCTCTGCTGACTCGCTCCCTCCCTTCCCCGCCGACTCAGCTCCCTCCAGTGTCCTCTGCTTCGCCTCTCTCCCCTCTCCGCCACCTCGCTCCCTCCCTTCTCTGCCATTTCGCTCCCTCCCATGTCCGCTGCCTCATTCCACTTTGATCTCTGCTACCTCCGATCCGTTTCCTTCTCCGCCAATGGCTCCCTTCTGCACTGCTTGGCTTCCTTCTACACTGTCTTCAGTCTTCACTGGGCACCTGTGTATGCAAATTAACCGCCATCTTTGTTGGGTTAATTTGCATACTCTTCTGATTGGCTGGTGGTTGTAGCAAAGGTATGGTCAATTAGCATTATTGTCTTTTATTAGTATAGATATTCTCTTCTGTTTGCCAACAACATTTTACTTTTTTAAAATGCAGTGACACACCTTCCATGCTCACCTTTACTTGTGACAACTCATCCAGGTCTTCCACGTATGGCCATGATGTAACATTTTCTTGTTGAGTGAGTGTGTTTAAAGTAAAAGACACTGGAGGGAAATTGCCTTACATAGTACAGATGGTGGGCTGACATGGCAGAAAAAGGGATGTTAATATGAAAATAACTGAGGTTCCAGAAAAATGTCACAGAATTCTAGATCCACTGAATTTTGGTTTGGAGTGGATGGTACATGAGCCACCCACTGCCTCTCTTTCTCCAGAAAGGGACCCCCAGGGTCACCCAGTGGGCCCCCCAACTCCTGGTCTGCCTGTGCAGTGTTCTCCACCACAAAGCCTGTGCCAATTCATGCCATGATTAGTGGGCAAAGCCAAGTGAAGGGCAAAGCCAAGTGAAGGGCACAGTAGCTCATGGGCTCACATTGGTCCAGTGCTTGCTGCATGGATGCTTGCCATATATCTGTTGAGTAAATTGATGGAGATAGAGGGGATGGGGGGCTTATTTGGAGCCCCTGGGGGTGTCTTCTCTCCTAAGACTTGTCCAGCTGCTTAGGAGTTAAGGCCAGTTCCTAGGATTTTACTCTCCAGATAATCCATTTCCACACGGGAAACCTGAGGGAGCTCCCCCAAGGGAAAGCTGTGTTCCCAGCCACCTCCCACTGACACAAGAAACACTGCATCTCATTCACGTGAGGCAGGGGGCTTATGCATGTGAGCCAAGCTGAGGTCTGGCTTCAGACTCCAGCCTCACCCATCCCTTCTGCAGATGACTCTGAGCCAGGCGGGAACGGGGCGAGGTCTGGAGGTGGCTGCCCCTGCAGAACGGGTTGGTGTCCCTGGTGTGACTGAACAGTGGGATCAGAAGAATAATTCACCCTGGGGCTCTGAATATGCTGATACAGCACCCTACAGTCTTCAGAGGCTAGCAGCCAGGCAGTGTTCCCAGATTGCAAAGGCCCGTGTGTGTGTGTGTGTGTGTGTGTGTGTGTGTGTGTGTGTGTGTGGTGTGTGGTGATTAGAAATAGCCTCTGCTTAGAGAACAACCCAGATTGTCCCATGTGGGTAGAGATATGGGTGGTCTTTACCTGTGTGAGCTTCATGACCTGTGTTTATTTCCCTGCTAGATAAAAGATAAGAATCCTACCCAGGGCAACCTTTTTTTTCTTTTTAATTTTTTTAATCCTAACCTAAGGATATTTTTCTATTGATATTTAAAGAGAGAGGGGGAGACAGAGAAAAATATTGATGTGAGAGAAACACACCGATTGGTTGCCCCCTGTGTCCAAGCCGACCATGGCCTGGGCTGGGGAGGAACCTGCAATGGAGGTATATGCCCTTGACCAGAATTGAATCTGGGACCCTTTAGTCCACAAGCCGATGCTCTAACCAATGAACAACTGGCTAGAGCTGTTTAGGTATTTTCATGTGTTGCCACAATCTAAAGTATCTCGTAAAGTATTTTCTTTATAAATAAAACATCAGTCCAGAGGTACAAACCCCTTTGCCTTTCTTACTTTCTACTCTGCTTTGTTAGGAGATCTCATGTCTATGACAAAGAGCATTGTTGAGAAAACCATGGAGTTTTTTGTTTGCAGATTTTCTAATGACTAAAGGAAGATACTGCCAATACTAGAAACAAATAGAGAAACTGAGGGCCAATATAGCATTCGCAGTTCAGTGCAGAAAAGAGAAACTACCCTAGATATGATAATCAGACAATATTTCATATAGAGGATTTGGTGCATACTCAATCTTTGGAAAGGCCGGCGGAACAGATTTTATACTTGGCTTCCAGAATAGACTTCTAAAGCCAGATAGAACAGATCCACTAGAGAACTACCATCTCTGAGGTACCACTGACAATGAACTCGAGGACAATTCTATACAACTGTGAACTAGGAATCAGAAAATTGATTTCTAGAGGCTACCATTTTTGTAGCTGCTGTTAGCAACTGCTTTCTTCCACCTAGAAAACTGAAGAATGGATTTGAGAACTATGTTTTGGGAAATCTCATACTTCTACAACTAAACTGCCAACATAAACAGCCAAAAGGAGCAGGGAGATGGCCTCCACTTCCACCTTCCAAGTATCTCACAAGTGAGTCTGCAGCAGACCCAGGGGTGAGGAGCCGTGGAGATGGACCACCGCTCACCTCAACCCTGTGGACGAGGACCTGCAGGAGCTCATCTATTTCCCCTGTTTATTGGTCCAGATGTGGACAAATCATGGAGAGCGGCTTAGCAGCATATTAACATCGACTCAGAGGGTGACTCTGAGGGCCTGTGTGTCCTTAGTCAGGGCGCCTCCTTCTATAAAATGTGTGATGATGGTACACCTCCCTGTGGGGCGGGGGGTTCTCCTGAGGATGAAATGGGTTGATTCTTTGGGGTTTGAGGAAGTGCCACGGAAGAATCCTTAAATAAAGGGGTTGTTTTAAAGTGTCCTGTTTTTATAGAAACTGCTGGAGGGCCAGCAGATCAGGAGCCACCTCATTGAGAAAATAGGTTGTTACTCTCAGTTTCCAAGAGGCAGAAGGGGCCCACCACCATGATGGCCTCAAGGTAAACAGCAGGTAGGTCAGGAGACAGAAGAGGGAGTAAGTGTGGCAAGAGTCTTGGTGGTGGTTGCAGGTCAGGGCAAGCTATGCAAATAGGCAATTTCAGTGGTGGTTGGCAGGTTGGCAGGGATCTGGCCCTGGAGTGATTAGGGCAGGAAGATAGTGGCTGGGGCGTGGTAGCCTGAGAAAGAAGCTATTGGGGGAAGAGGGCTAGAGGTACAGACTCTGGCATGCTAGAAGGGCAATTTGATGACTATCTCTAGGAATTGGTTCACTCTAAGGGGGCAGGGGCAGTCCCTCCAGAGTCAGCCATACCTGGGATGTCAGTCAATGTATCAGAACAGAAAATAAAAGACATGGTGAGGATTTGTTCTATGGGATCATTTTGCTTTCCTGGGTCTAAAGCTAAAACACAATTGAGGCCAAGATATTGTGTTCCATTTGATTGAAAACTCTGCCTAAATAGTCCATTGAGCTACACTGGGGCGGCTCAGTCTTTTGAGTATTGTCCTGTGCACTGAAAGGTTGCAGGTTTGATACCCAGTCAAGGCACCTGGGTTGTGGATTCAATCCCAGGTCAGGGCGTGTATAGGAGGCAACCGATTGATGTTTCTCACATTGATGTTTCCTTTCTTTCCTCCCTCCCTGCCTCCATTCCTTTCTCCAAACATGTTGTCAGGTGAGGATTAAAAAAGTTCAATCAATAGTCAATTGAACCAGGACCTTGTTCCTAAGACTGCTGGATGCTGACCAGTTGTCATGAGGGCTACATCAAGCATGTCCAACTCTCAGGCCACTGGTCACGAGTTTGATATGCTTGGGCTACATGATTGAGCAAGGGAGAGGGAAGCTGAGTGAGTCAGGGTGCTGGGTAAAGCCAGTTAGAATCAATGGGGGAAAAAAATAAAGGCCAGCCCTAGCCAGTTTGGCTCAGTGGATAGAGCATCGGCCTGTGAACTGAAGGATCCTGGATTCGATCCTAGGCAAGGGCACATGCCCAGGTTGCAGGCTCGATCCCCAGAGAGGGGCGTGCAGGAGGCAGCTGGTCAAAGATTCTCTCTAATCATTGATGTTTCTCTCTCCCTTTCTATCTGAAATCAATAAAAAAAATAAAGGCCAGATTAAGGAAAATAAAGTTTCTGCATGGTTATACTATCTGTGGCTCCTGGACCCACAGTTCTGTGGCCATCAGTACCCTGACAGCCCAGGCCCCATCTGGATTTTATTTTCATTCTCCAAATATTCATGGCTGCTCTGCTCATGGACCCACTGTGTAAAGCCCAGACCCCTAGCCTGGCACCCGAGGCCCTTTCAGACATGAGGCTTCTCATTCCAGGATAATTTTCCACTCCCCTTAGATAGCTCTGGCCCAATGAGTCATTCTCTCTTCTTCGGG